TTTTTTATATTCATGTAAAGCAGCTCTTGGTGATATTAAGTATTTTGGATCGAAAGTTATGATACGGAGATTTTTTCATAAAGTAGCATGAATGTTAGGATATGCTAGACACTCGTATAAATTAAAAAATTTATTCGTACGGTATATTTATTTTTATTGATTTTATTGCGTTTTGACTTACATAAATTGGCCAATCAAATAAATCTTGTCTGATATGCCCAAATTTAGACACAATTAAATAAATCCGATGACAAATTGCATGTGAAAAATTAGATCTGCACTCACGCCCTTACACAATGCATTCTAACATCCAATCATTTGTAAGATTTGTTGAGAAATATCATTAAATCGTTGCATAGCCATTATACTATATGAAATTTTTATTATCACTCCGTTCATGTATGAGGCATGTTAATTAACAGTTAAGGGTAGAGTATATGTGGATCATTTTGTCATATGATTTATATGATTTGCATAGTAAATCTCGATTTTACAAATTTTATATTAAATCATGTTTTTTTTAATAGTATGAATTTTTTATTATCCACAAACTCTTATGATCATGAATTTATTTCTGTCTGTTATTTTTTTCATGTGTTACGAAATATTCATGTTTACTCGAATTACAGATAACATCATTATTCGGCAAATTTTTGAATAGCCGAAATTTGGCTCATCTGGGCAATGATTGACTGACACGTACCGATTCGCGGCACGTGTCCATTTGCCCGGTTGAACCAAATTACCATTATTCAAAAATTTTACCAAATAATGTATACATAGACAAAATATTTTAAAGAAATATACTTGCATATATCATAAATTCGCCCAAATTTGCCAGGTTACACAAAATTATTAATTTTGATTGGTTTATATCGTATGATCATCATATGATAAAAAACGATATCCTATCTTTAAAATATTCTATTAAATATTTAACCAATTTTAATGATTTTACCACCGTTAGGACCAAAAAAATCTATTCTACAACTTTACTTAGGAATATTAAATCAGTAACTTAATAATTTTTTTAGAATATTAAAAATAAAAAAAAAATTACCATTTAAAAAAGGTCAATTTTTAAATATGATATTATAATAAAAAGATAATAATGATTATATGAGAAGAGTGTTAGTTTGAATAAGGACAATTGTACGATATATGAACTTGCAAGAAGACATTCTTATTGACAACCAACAAAATAAAAAAAATTATTATATGATTTCGCCATGGCTAGAGCATTAACTATCTTTACTGCTGCTTATATACATATTACGTACAGTTAATGCTGAGACGCCCATAAAGAAAATACAAATGGTTTTTTTGATATTTAAATTTACTAAAATTTCTCTTCGAGATCTTGTAGTCTCCTTCCGAAACAGTTCTCTTTTCGTTAAAATCTTCAAAGTACCTCGACGTTAATTTTACGATAACAATAAATTTGTGAATATGGATGTTCATTTCACATATTTATATTTGTACTAACGCTAGCAGATCTTAATGAAGCCCGAATTATAAGTGCGGGATTTACGCTGTTACACCACACGTTATTAAAAATGCAAAACTCTTTCCGAACACCACAAATAAGGTAAACTTAAAACGCCGTGCCGCATATGCAGCATATATATACTGTACATGCATTCTTGATCAAATAATAAGTTCATTAGTAAAGTAGTCATGTCAGAAGGGTGGCTAGAAAGAGCTATTTCCAACAGCCATATTAATTATGTTGAATATAGGAAGTTTACAAACCCTGCGGTGATTGGTATGGGAGGTTTTGGGACCGTTTATAAATACGAATGGAAGGACTGCGAATTAATAATTGCCCTCAAATGTATTAAACTCGATATGAACGTAGATGAAAAGACTATGAATGACTTTATCAATGAGGTATTTATTATACTGTATATAACAAATCTTTCATCTACTTTTAATATTAATTAAATTCCTATTATTATAAAGCTTAAAATATTACAAAGAGTTGGTAATCATCCAAATATTATTACATTTCACGGCGTCACAAAAGGTAAATTTTACAACTTATTATTTATGATCCTAATAAATATTTTAATTTAAAGTATTCATAATCATACGAATAAATAGACGATAATGGGTGTTATAATGTGATTTTACAATATGCTGACGATGGAAATTTACGAGAATATCTGAAAGTAAATTATGCAAGATTGAAATGGACAGATAAATTACGCTTTGCCAAGGAAATATCTCATGGTATCTTGTACTTACATGAAAATAATATCGTTCACAGGGACCTTGTAAGAATATGATGTATTTTATATTACATGTTAATGAATTTTAACTTACTACGTAATCCTCTTATATTTAGCATTCAAAGAATATTTTAATTCATCAAAGCCACCCCAAAATCGCTGACTTTGGATTATCAAAACAGATAAATGAGATGTCAAAGACCTCCAACTCTATCATTCGTGGAATGCTAGAATACATTGAACCTCTATGTCTCGATAACAAAAAATATAAACGAAATATGAAATCTGACGTTTATAGTTTGGGAATAATTCTCTGGGAAATTTCAAGCGGAAAACCACCATTCGAAAACTTTGAATCAAGGATGGCTCTTTATATTCACATACTTCAAGGAAAGAGAGAAGAGCCAATAGTAGGTACACCACCTCAATATGTTGACCTTTATAAGAAATGTTGGGATAATGAACCTACTAAACGCCCAGAAACAAAATCAATTCTTGAAACATTAAATCGTTTAATTAATAATGAGGATTTAAGTCACTCTATCACTAATGAACCATCAATTAAAGATGATGATGAAACCTCTTCTTTAAATCGAAGCACAATATCATTTCAGAATCACTGACCTTACAATTTGATTCGATTATTTAATTATCGCTGTTTGCAATGATATATCTTTGATAAAATTTTGCAAATAGCAGCTCACTTGTACAGTTACTTGATTGTGTTCGATTGTGTGATTGTAAAGTACTTTTCTTTAATTTTTTCTATATCACATATCCCCAAAGTAACATCCGTATTCTCAAAGATAACTTTGAAATCGGGCGACAATTAGGTGATTGTACACGAGAGTGGCAAGATACAAACAATGATGAATAAAGATTAGCATGCTTATATTTATGCTCAGCAAATTCAATCGTTTGTTTGACCAACAAATTTAGAATATTACATTGAACACCGTAAGTGCATTTTGTATTTTCCTTTTTTTCTTTTTTCTAACCATTTGTTTTGTTTCATTTAATTTAATTTAGCAATTAATTTTTAATTTTTTAAAGTTTTATTTTATGCGAATCACAATAAGATAGATAAAATCAGGTACAGACATAAACTACCTGTGCCTAGGAAAATTGGAATGCCATGCATGGAAAATTGGTGATAGAAATTAAGCCTGTATGAAATTTCTTCTTTGGGTACTGGACCCGTATTATAAAATCAAAGAATAGCACCCGGTTAACCAAGTTAAAATCTTTGGAATTCTTCTAAAAGACATTATAACCTGTGCCTGAATCGCAGCGTTGGTATCTGAAGTTATACCCGCTAAAAGTTCCAGATACCACATAATTTTTGGACTGGTTCTTGGACTGAACTTAAAGACTCAGTCCAAAGGTTCACGCAATAGAACCTGGAAGTCCTAAAACCAGGATTGGACCAAGACGGACTTTGCCATCCCTATTTTCTGCCTACCAATTAAATTACACCAATAACTAATAAACCATTTTCTATGCCTTAATAAAAAAATTTATTGCATAATTTTAGTAAGATTTATTGGTTAATATCAACCATAACAATAATATTTGTTTATTCTGTTTTTTGTTCATGGTGTCAGGACAGAATTTTAACAAGTCATATGTAATCTATTGCATCCAATCAAGGACTGGATTTCTATGCATTTAATAGGAGCTTGGAAAAATTAACAGGCCCATCTGGTTCAACGGTGCTTTAATGACATCCTCTTTTGAACATTCCCCACTATAACAAAGTATTACAGGGTACTGAACAATTTAAAAGCACATTTTTAACTAAGTGTAGCACAGTAAGTGGCTCTTTTTAATATATAATATAGAATGAGATAAATACAGTAAATCAAATAATGAAATTTTAAATCGCTCAGGGAGAAAAATCTAAGAATGACCGTAGATTAAAAATTCGGAAATAACTATATATGAATTTACTGTTATTAAACAAAAAATTTAACAAACAAATATTCAAAACCATATACAGTAAAAATATTCAGCGTCGCAAAACAATACTCTAACGTTTAATTTTGTCTCTAACTTTACCTTAACTAAAACTCCAATCCTAAATTTATTTATAAAAATACACGTTTTGCCGTCGAATAACACTGATGTATTTTAGCATTGTACTTTAAAAAAACAATTTCTTGTATGATTTTATAATAACAAACATAATTTATTACATGTACATATATATTTACATTATAATATGTACAATCCAAATAGGTGTTAACCCATCTAAAATCTAAAAAATTTGGCAAAGCCAACATTCCAATTAACTTTGACATCTTTTTGTGCTGATAAAACAAATAAATTAGCATAAAATTATAAACAGAATTTCGGATATCAAAAGTATAAAATACTTACAATAATTCAAATCGATTCTATAAAGATTATTTTCACCAATGCCAAACATTAGAACACATTCCAAATTCTCTTTTACACCTTTAACACAATCCTTGATATTTTTAATAGCATTTTTTATATCTATATTCGAACTTTCAACTTGAATTTTCTCAGTTTGTCCCGGTTCAACAACAATTCCAATGTCACTAGGTCTTTTTGTTGCAGTTGCAATCTGTTCATTAAACTCATTAAAAACTTTAGCATTAAAACCAAATAAATGTAATCTAGTTTTAAGCGGATTATGAAGATTAAATGAGTCTTTAGAAGTAAAAGCGACTTCCATTTCGTTAATCAACGGAACACCTAAGCCCGGAATAACAACTTCTAATTTTATAGTTTCAAAAGCTTTTTGTAATAGAGATATCGAAGTTGTCATATTGGTTGCTTTAATGGATAAAAGATTATCTCTTCCGTTTAAATAGCTCTCTATATATTTTAATCTAACAATAGTAGATTTATTTTCATAGTTTATTTGAAAATCTTCTATGGTTATTTTTGCAATTGTAATATTTTGAACAGATATTAAATCAAATTCGACATTGCTACCAATGTCAATTTCGATATTTGAAAATTTAGAAACATTAGTTATAGTTGCTACTGCTTTAAAATCGATGGCATCTCTTGTTGCTTCAATGATTTCCATGGAATTCCTGTACATACCAAAACAATAGAAAGTGTTATTATGTATTTAGGTAAGAACAATAAAAACAAGTTAGGAAAGAAAATGGAATTAGAGTTCA